TTAACCACTGAGCCTTCTCCAGCCCCCTGGAGAGTATATCTTGTTCCTCCTGCCTTCCCGTCTCTCTGGCTTCTCAGTTGCCATGAGGCATCAGATGAGAGTTTTCCTCCACCATGCCCTTCTGTGGTAATGTTTATGCCTTGTCACAGCCCTAAGACATGTCACAGCCAATCACGGCTGAAAGCTCTGAAACTGTGAGCCGACACGATCCTTTCATTCTGTAGGCTGATTGGCTCAGATACAGTGTCAGTGCGACAACAAACGACTGACAGCATTCTTTGCTTTGCTTTTTTTTTTTTTTTTAATTTTTAAAAATGTTTTCTCTGTGGATTTGTCGTACCTGCCGGGCTCAGAAGAGGGCACCGGGTCCCTGTGAACGGGAGTTATAGGCAGTTGTAAGCTGATGTAGATGCTGGGAACTGAACTCTAGTCCCCTGAAAAAGCAAGTGTCCTTATCTGCTAAGCCACCGCTCCGGTCCCTGCATAGTTTTTAATTTATTGATGATGATGATGATGCAGTGTTTGCACATGCCTGATGTAGGAGACACAGAGAGGTCAGAGAACAACTCTGTGGAGTCAGGTCTCTCCCTCCATCCACCTCTATGGTGGTTCTGTGTGTGGAAATGGAGCCATCGCTCCAGGACTACTTGATTCTCTTGATACCAGCTATGTAGCTTCGGCTGGCCTTTAATGCACAGTCAGCCTTCCAAGCGTAAGAATCACAGACATGTGCCACCGTTCCCTGCCCCCACCTTTTTGCCCCCTTGAGACAAGGTCTTATCGCGTAGCTGTGGCTGGAACTCAATATGTAGACCAGGCTGGCTCCGAACTCACAGATCCACTAGCTTCTGCTTCTCAACTGCTGAGATTAAAGGCAAGAAGCACCACACCTGGCACACTCAAATAAATGTCAATAATATGTTTCTATGGCCATGCAGTATTTCCTCATGTGAATATATATATTATGAGGTATTTGTTATGGTTTAAATGTCCCCCAAAGGCTAGTTTTGAGCACTTGGTCATCAGCTTGTGGTGACTCTGAGGCTGTGAAGTCTGTAGGACATGGTACATAGTGGCAGGAATAAGTCATTAGGGATGAGTAATGTGATATCCTGAAGTTCACAATCCCATGTAAAACAGTTTTTAAAAAAGTCAAGTGCACATTAATAGCATGCAAAAGGGATGCACTTATCCAAATGATTGAAAAAAATAAAGCTTTGGGAATGAGAATGTGGTTAAGTGGTACGTACAGAATGTCAATTCAACCCCTAACAGCAACAAAAAAAATAAAAATAAGCAAAAAAAGCTTTATGACAAAATAATCGCACCAAATCTTGTTTTAAACCTTTCCATTAACATCCAAATATTTTCCCATTGATTCTCACGGTTTCAGGCATCACTTGTATTTTAAGGATTTTTCTTAGTTTAGTACCCATTTCAATATAAAATACTTATTTTTTTTCTATTTTAGGCAATAAGATATTCAATCTTCTGTTACTAAATCAAGGTCTCTCTTGCTATGTAGCTCAGGCTGACATCAAACTTGCTATGCTCCTGCCTCAGCCCCCTCAATGCTGGTGACCCTACCCAGCTGTGTGGGAAGTTGTAACTAGGAAAGAGAGTACAACACATTAGTACAACAAAGCCTAGTGGTTAGGGGTTGGGATCCTGAAACAGAGATGGAGGAGGACAGCAATTATTGATGAAGGCTGGGTCCAGCCACCGCCGTGGGTGAGGCCAAATGCAGGGGCAAGCTGGTGCTAAGAAGGTGACCGAGGGGCGGTTGCTGGTACTGTTCAGGTCACCCCCTGCTGACGTCACACAGGCTAAGGCAGAGCTCAAAGGGAAACTTGAGGTGCCGCTGCTGAGCTGGGTGGAGGAGCCTTTGAGCCCTCGACTGGACTCACTGCCATCCTGAAATACACAGGGCAAGGTCCTCTGGCCAAAAACACCAGTTAACTTCTGGCAAACATCCAGCAAAGTTGGTAAAGGAAGCTAGCAAAGGCTATCAGAGGAACAAAGGATTGTTGGAGTCAAGTTTGGAAATGGTAATTAGGCACAGACTTTCTAGCCTAACTTCCTGACCTTAACTTGTACAGAATATGAGAAAAAAATATTCTCTACTTTGGAATTCTACAGCAGAGTTAAAAACAAAACTTCTGGCCGGGCGGCATTGGTGGTGCACACCTTTATTCCCAGCACTCGGGAGGCAGAGCCAGGCAGATCTCTGAGAGTTCGAGGCCAGCCTGGTCTAGAGTGAGATCCAAGACAGGCACCAAAACTGCACAGTGAAACCCTGTCTTGAAACTCCCCCACCCCCCAAAAAACTTCCATCACTAAAATTAGTTCTGAAGGTATACCCATGGGCATCTCCAATTATTTATTTGATAGAAAAGCAACATTTCTGAGAGTTGATGAGAACAATCATGTCTCCTGAGAAATTTAGTTTCTGCAAGAACACACAAACAAACCCACCGGAAGATAGTGTCCCAACAATTAAGAAGGTGGGCAACTCAACAGACTCAAAGTGAAGTTTTTGCTTAGGGAACATCAGGCATCTACAATGTAGCTCTTTGTGAGTCACAGATTGAATGCTGGGCATGGTGCTGTGATTAAAACCTCAGTGGCCGGAGCAAGGGCTCACTGTTTTTCTTCCCTAAATTCAGTTCCCAGTACCCACACCAGGCAGTTCACAATTGCCAGTAACTCCAAGTTCAGGAGATTCAAACATCTCTGTCCTCAGGAATCTGCACATGCCACACATGTCAAGAAAAGACACCATTAAAAATAATAAAAATTTTAAAAAAGAAAAGAAAAAAAAGCATTCAGGAGGCAGAGGTAAGTCGATCTCTGTGAGTTCAAGGCCAACCTGGTGTACAAAACAAGTTCCAGGACAGCTGGGGCTGTTACACAGAGAACCCTGTCTCAAAAAAAAACTAATAATTATAAGGAGAAATTGCCTTTTGGATAATATCTATTACTAAAATAATGTTCTGCAAGGCAGCGGAGGCACACACCTTTGATTCCAGCACTAGGAAGGCAGAGGCAGGCAGATCTCAGAGTTCGAGGCCAGCCTGGTCTACCGAGCGAGTTCCAGGACAGCCAGGGCTACACAGAGAAACTGTCTCGAAAAAACAAAATCATGTTTCTTCAAATTTATAGGTCCATTTTTAGTGAAGGCTTTGCTTTTCAACTTTTTTCCAATTTAACCATGTAAAAACAGGCAAACTTTTTAAAAATATTTTTCTGTTCATATTTTTTAATTTTGTTCATGTTTAAAATTTAAGACTTTTTATAGAACATAATCTAGAGCTTAGACACTGAGGAAATGATTAAGATACTCTGAATCTGAGGTCAGCTACTTCCTCTCCTGAGAAGTACCCTGAAACCTTTCCTCTGTGTGTGTATACATCTACATGCATACATTTATATCGTTCAAAACCACATATACATTGTTTTATTAGCATTTACTATGAGTTTTGTTGCGACTTTTTACATATTTAATAAACACTGATCATGTTCACCCCTCTATATGTAATATATGTTAATGAGAAACATTTGTTCAGTATTGTGTTCTAGAAGACGTTATAACTGTAGCATATCTGAGACTCCATCAAGCTCTAACTCGAATCAATAACATGAGTTTTATAGAGCTCCTGGCTTCCTCTAAAATAAAAAAATCCAGTATGCACCACTACGTAGATGCATATGAAGTTGCCTATTAAGGCGTTTCTAAACATTGCGCTTTCGTTTTGTTCCATCACCAAACACAAGGTTTGATGAAGTTATGGTGAGATCCTTGGTGCGTTTGGGGTGAGGGCGAGGGGTGTCTTACCTAGACCGCTCAAGGAAAACACAAAAGCAGAGATTTGTTTTAAGCCCCAAGTAACTACTGAAACCAAAGCATTTAGTAACAGGTTAAGAAGCGAAGGGGAGATTTAAAAATGCAATTTTGTAACAAACTCAAGCAGCATGAACTCATCCAGCTGTGGAAGTGTGGCTCTTCCCTAGATTCCAGAACAAAAGAAGCGTTTGCGAACAGAGGGGCTTTGCCTTTCCTGCGCCCCGCTTCCACTCCCCGAGCGATCACATCTGGGGGACACAGGCGCCCACAGCCTGCCGGGCTTCCCTGCTTCCCCTCCAGGGCCAGCACCGGGCGGGGGGGGGAGGCCAGGCTGTCGCCGTTCTTCGGGGGAAAAGGAGGCTCGGCGACCCGGGAGGGAGCCAGGCCCGGGCCAGAGGGGTCCTCCCCAGCTGGCGCACCCACTCCGGCCGTTCCGAAGGCGACCGACCCCGGTGCAAAGCTTCTCCGGAGCAGGGCGGGAAGGAAGGAGAGGAAACGGGGCGCCCAAACAGTCCCGCCCGTCCCTTATCAGCGTCCGAGGGGAAGGGTGGAGAACCGAGGAAACAGCGGGGGGCTCCCCCGAGCCCGGGCTCTCCCCGCCCGCCCGCCCGCCCCGGAGCGCCTTTGAAACTGCGTTTCTGCACCTCTCTCGCTCTGCGCCGCGGCGGCGGCGGCGGCGGCGGCGGCGGCGGCGGCTGGAACCCGCGCGAGGCGCGCAGCCAATCGGCGCCGCGCTTCCTTTCCCGCCGCCCGCCAATGGCAGCGCGCGTTCTTGGGGCGTGCGCGAGCCAGGCGGCTCCTCCCCCCGCCCCCTCCGGCTGGTGTGTGTGTGTGTCTGTGTGTGGTGTCGGCTCAGGCTGGCTGCGGGCTCCGGGCTCGGCCGCACTTGCTCGCTCGTCGTGCGCCGGGGGCTTTTGTGGCCGGGGCCGACCTGGGCTTTGTGTCCCGACTTTGTGCGCTGCCCCTCGGCGTTGCTCCCGGCCAGGGGATCCCTCGTCCTCCCGTTCCTCCTCTTCCTCCCCGCGCGGCGGCGGCGGCGGCGGCGGCGGCGGCGCAGCCCTCCCGGGGGCCAGCAGCGACCGAGCGAAGCGGGCGAGCGCGCCGGCGTTGAGCGGCGACGACCGTAAAGGGGGGGCCGAGGAAGGGGTCCGAGTCGGCCGAGCCCGAAGATGCCGGAGTTCCTGGAGGACCCTTCGGTCCTGACCAAAGACAAGTTGAAGAGCGAGTTGGTCGCCAACAACGTGACGCTCCCGGCCGGCGAGCAGCGCAAGGACGTGTACGTGCAGCTCTACCTGCAGCACCTCACGGCGCGCAACCGGCCGCCGCCGCCGCCGTCGTCGTCGTCGTCGCCGCTCGCCGCGGGCGCCAACAGCAAGGGGCCGCCCGACTTCTCCAGCGACGAGGAGCGCGAGCCCACCCCGGTGCTCGGCTCCGGGGCCTCCTCGGGCCGCGGCCGAGCCGCCGTCGGCAGGGTAAGGCTCGCACCACCCCACCCCACCCCCGCCCGCCCGCTCGCTCGCCCGCTCGGGGCCACGGAGGCGGGCGTTTGGCGGTGGCCCGCGGGCGCGTGCTCGCCCTCCCGGCCTGGGGTCCCACCCCGGTGCCCGCGGTGCCGTGATCGCCAGGCCGCTGGCCCGGGAAGGGAGGGAGGGAGGGAGGGCACGGAGAGGGGAAGGATGATCGGTGCGAGCCGCCGCGCCTCGGCTACTTGGCTGCTCGGCCCGGGGCCCAGCGCCGCAGGTCGGGAGCCGGTGTAGACGCGGCCTCCTTTTGCAAAAAGCCGCCTCCCCGCAGGCTTGGCCTCTTGCACCCTGGCTGAAGTTGGAGCATTTTCCCGCTTTCGGGCCCGAGTGAGTCGCAACAGAGTGTCAAGAGCGCTCCCTGGAGGGCAGTTCGAGACATCGTCATTTCTGGCCGATTTTTTTTTGAACTGAAGACATTCCCGCCTTTTTTTTTTTTTTTTTTTTTAAATGTTGTGTACCTCCGGAGGGCTTCTTGGAACCGTTGGTTTCCTCGTGCGTGTTCCTCGTGTGCGGTCCACGGGCCCCGCTTCTCGTGGGTTAAGCTTTACTGCAGGTGGCATGCTTCACACCGCGTTTGCAAAAGTAGCTCCTAGTTAGTAAGAGTTGGAGTTGTTTACCGTTTTCAAGATTTTGCTTGAGGGAGGAAGGATTCCGAAGCAGAAAAAAAAAAGTTTATGACATGCTGATGTATCAGTATTACAGTTTGAAGCCTCAGACCCTTAAAATCTAAGAGGGGTTCCTTCAGATGTTTACTGGTTTTTTTTGTTTGTTTTTGTTGCTGTTCTTTGGGTACATTTTAAATAGTATTTTGTTGGTTTATACTTAGTTACCGGAACTCAAGTCATAAAGAGTAATTAAGACTCGTGACTGGTGTAACTTAAAGTCTTTGAAAGACCCAGTGAATGTTTTGATTGGAGTTGTTGCTACTGTTATAGCCGGAAAAAAAAAATCGCGGCTTGCTTCTCTTGGTGCTGGGAATTGAACCCCCAGCCTAGTACAGCGTAGCATGGGCTAGCGCGGAACCACACCTCGGGCCAGTTGCTTCTTTGAAAGTTTTACGGTGTTTTGTTTAATCTTAGTGTTTTGTTTTGTTTTTGATGTCTTTCGCTGATTGCCCAAATGAGAGAAGGATTCGTCATAGGCACGTGTGGATTTAGATGAGAAAGCTTCACCGAGCTTCTTTTCCCCCGATGTCTTATGTCGCGCACATGGTGCTGTCTAGTAAGCACTGGCCGGATGATCGGGTGGAGAGGTAGATGGGATCTCCATCGTGGCGATCCTTAGCTACTTGCTCTGGTTTAAAAACCAATAAATACATAAATATTGACCAGCCGCACCTATTATCTTACTGTCTTTGGTGTCTCCCTATTTGTGGTTTTTTTTGGGGGCAAACATACCACTTTATTACATTTTTTAATTAAAATAATGGATTTAATCTGGAATTTTTACTTACATGTGTATCAAGTTCTTTCCGGGTTTTCTCCCATTGACTCCCCGCCCCATTCTGCCCTCCCAGTAGTCCCTTTACCCCTTTCTACTTTACTGTCGTGCTTTTTAAAATAATATCGAGAGTCTGCATATGAGAGAAAATATGCGATATTTGTCTTTGGAAGGGAAGCTGAGATAGGGTCTCATGTAACCCTGACTGGTCTTGAGTTCACTGTAGTCAAGGATGACTTTGCCTCTGACTCCCAGGTACTGAGATTATGAGGGTACACCATACCTGAGTGGCTAGTTTCACATAACATAATCTCCAGTGTCATCCATTATGTTTATGACATGATTTTGTTCTTTATAGACAAATAAAACTTCTTTGTGGCCTCGCCCAATGCATGCCTTTAATCTCAGCACTCGGGAGGCAGAGCCAGGCGGATCTCTGAGTTCGAGGACAGCCTGGTCTACAGAGTGAGTTCCATGACAGGCACCAAAAGCTACACAGAGAAACTCTGTCTCGAAAAACCAAAAAACAACCCCCCCCCCTCCCGCCGCCGCCGCCGCCGCCGCGCCACCACCACCGTATGCGAGTGCGCGCAGTGATTTCATTTGGTGGCTTTTCCATGCTTTTTTGTGGGTTTAAAGCCAATTTAAGGAGGGTTGGGAAATGACCTGCCATGCACAGTCTGATCTCCAGCACCCACGTAAAGAGCTGAGTGCAGCAGTAACATGTGTCTTTAAAAAAACAACCGTGGAAGGCACACCCACACACTTTAAGTAGATTTTACTAGCAGCACGGCTCAAGTCAAACTCCAGCCTTTAGGATGCCGAGACGGGATCACAAGAAGTTTTGAGTCGGGGTGGGCTGCACTGATGAGACCCTGTCTCTAAACAAGAGAATTGCTTTTTAGGGGTGTTTTTGTTTTGTTTTTAAGTTTCTCGTGACAAGGTTTCTCTGTAGCCCCGACTGCCCTGAGCTTGGCTCTGTAGACCAGGCTGGCCTTGAACTCACAGAGATGAGCCTGCTTCTGCCTCCTGAGTGCTGGGACTAAAGGCTTGAGCCACCACACCCAGCTGAAGTGCACCCCTTTATCTGTTTGCTTGTTTTGGTTTTTTTATGGATATTAATGATTTTATTTTGTAGAAGAGAAAAAAAACAGGCTCAGGTCAGTCACCAATTTAGGGCAAGATGTGGAAGCCAGAAGGTCTCCTCAGCAGCTTTAGAAAGACTCATCGGTCTAGTAATCCCACTTTGGTGTTTTCCCATAAGAGTTGACCACACTCTTTTCTTTTTCTTTCTTTCTTTCTTTCTTTTCTTTCTTTCTTTCTTTCTTTCTTTCTTTCTTTCTTTCTTTCTTTCTTTCTCTCTCTCTCTCTCTCTCTTTCTTTCTCTCTCTCTCTCTTTTCTTTCTTTCTCTCTCTCTTTCTTTCTTTCTTTCTCTCTCTCTTTCTTTCTTTCTTTCTTTCTTTCTTTCTTTCTTTCTCTCTCTCTCTTTCTTTCTCTCTTTCTCTCTTTCTCTCTTTCTTTCTTTCTTTCTTTCTTTCTTCTCTCTTCTTTCTTTCTCTCTTTCTCTCTCTTTCTTTCTTTCTTTCTCTCTTTCTTTCTCTCTTTCTTCCTTCCTTCCTTCCTTCCTTCCTTCCTTCCTTCCTTCCTTCCTTCCTTCCTTCCTTCCTTCCTTCCTTCCTTTTCTTTTCTTTTTTGGTTTTTGGAGACAGCGTTTCTCTGTGTAACAGTCCTGGCTGTCCTGGAACTTAATTTGTAGACCAGACTGGCCTCGAACTCACAGAGATCTGCCTGGCTCTGCCTCCAGAGTGCTGGGATTAAAGGCATGTGCCACCGCCCTGCTCCTTTTTTAATTGTATGTGAGTGAATGTTTGGCTTGCATTTATGTATGCCCATCATGTGTATGTGTTCACTCATTCCCCAAGGGGACCAGAAGAGGGCATCAGACCTTCTGGAGCTGGAGTTAGATGTGGTTGTGAGCCTCCCTGTGTGTGTTGGGAATCAAACTTGGATCCTCTGGACAGCAGCCAGTGCTAGTGACCCCTGAGCCATCTCTCCTGCCCCTTCTCCATCAGCTCTTTTAAAAGGTAGCACCCCCCCCCCCCAAAAAAAAAAAGAAAAAAGAAACAGGCATAGTACAGGCACCTTTAATCCCAGCACTCAGGGCCAGTGAGTTTCAGGACAGCCAGGGCTACACAGAGAAACCCTGACTCAACCTCCCCCCCAAAAAAGGAGGTAGCATTTGAACTATCTTGGTACGTACTTAGTAAGAAAACAAAACAAAAAAAAATATTTTCCATTTCAAATGGCCACATGGTTAGGCAGGTATTCTGTTAAATCATCCAAGTGTTTGTCCAAGTGTATAAAGCCATAAAGCTTCTGGCTGTATGTAAAAAAATTAAATCCCAGTTCATCTGGTGGAGGCAGGAGGATCAGGAGTTCAAAGTCATCTACATAATGGGCTTGAAGCTTTCATGGGTTACATACTTTTTATTGTTATTTTTTAAAAGCTGTTTTATTTCCTCATCCCAGCTCAGCTCCTCTTTCCAGAAGGATCCTACCCTTTTTTGAGCACCTACAATAGAGTTGTGCTGAACCTCGAGTGGAGGGACAGTTTAGAATGCTCTAGGTGCTGTGTTGAGCCCTTATCACTTGGGGGTGAGGGGGAGGCAGAATACCTTCTGTGTTCTGTGGGTCTCATAATGATAGGTCTGTATTCTCCACCTGCAACATTTAAATTTTTTTAGGTGTGTAGCCTTGATTGGAGTCTATCAACTACCCAAAATTAATATTGACCATCAGTTGATGTTGTATTGTTTTAAATACATAAATAAAATGAGTTTTTATTTCAGAATCTTAAGTTACCACTTTTAAGTCTTGTAGAATATTTATGATTGTTTGTATAAAGTTATTCTCATGGTTTTCCTGCTGTGATCTCCTAAGTGCTAGATTGCAGGCATGTGCTGCTATGCCCAGTCTTTTTATATATATATTAAAGGATAAATTGTTTCTTATCACCACCATAGTATTTTACCTTGGGTGCATATGATGGGAGGGTGTGTGGTGTTGTGTTTTTGGTGTGTGTGTGTGTTTTGTTTTTAGGGTTTTAATTATCTGTCTGGATATCAGTATTTTTAGGTGTTACAATTATCTAGATAGTGGGCACAAGAGTAAACATTTATGGAGTTGGCAATCTGCCTTTTTGTCTGAGCGTGCAGAGCATGCAGGTTGAGCTGTTAGGGATGCAGTGGAGCTTAGAGACCTTCTTGAGTGAACCTGTCCAGGGAGACTGTTTTGTGCTAGGGGTTGAATCCAGAACTTCATGCACACTTAATTCATTTATTGAATTTATATAGCCCAGGCTGGCATCAAACTTGGGGTCCTCTTCTCAGACTTCGTGTGCTGGGAGTTCAGACCCACCATGTCTGGAGTGACAATGAAACCTGTGATTGGTTGTTTCACCCCCCCACACACACACACATACACACCCCACACCCCGTTTTTGTTTTGAGGCAGGGTTTCCTGTAGCTCAGACTAGACCTGAACTCTTGTATAGGACAGGAGGGTGACCTTGAACTCTCGGTGCTCTGCACCACCTGGCCTTTTCATGTAAAACGTAGAAATCTAGTAATCACTTAACTAGGTTGGAAATTGATTAATTAGGTTTCATAAGTGTGTGCCTTGTGTTCAGTAGCTTATACTATATATGGTTTCTGATTGCTTTCTTTAATGTCAGGGTAATGTAGTGCAAAGTTATTGTGATAATAGTTTCCAGAAAAGGGTGTATGTGAAAGAATTATATGATGTCCATGTAAACACACTGAAGATTTAATAGATTAGCCTTGGGTCTCAGTTTCCTTACTTTATAATATGGAGATATTAATGTGTCTGTCCCACGGGATTTTTAGGATTCTTTTTTGTTTCTTTGAGACAGTGTTTTTAGATGTAACCCTGGCTGTCCTGAAACTCTTAAGTAGATCAGGTTGGCCTCCCAACTCAAAGATCTGCCTGCTGCCAGGTGTCGGTGGTGGCGCACGCCTTTAATCCCAGCACTCAGGAGGCAGAGGCATGTGGATCTCTTTTAATTCAAGGATGGCCAGGGCTACACAGAGAAACCCTGTCTCTAAAAAACCAAACACAAACATCTGCCTACCTCTGCTGGGATTAAATGTGTATGCCACCTTGCCTGGCTAAATGTTTAGAGTTCCTTAAGTTAGTGCAAATATAATACACTTAAAATTCAACTGGATACATAATGATGTTCAGTGGAATATTTTATAATAGTAACTGGATATACTGGTTCGTGCATCTAGACCTAGAACTCAGAGGCAGAAGGATTGCTGGGAGTTCAAGGTCACCCTGGGTTACAGCACTTGAGCACTGGCCGCTCTTCCAGAGGAACTGGGTTGCTTCTCTGCACTGACTTGGTGGCTGAAATCTGTAACTCCTTGCTCCAGGGATCTGATGCCCTCTTGTGGCCTCCGCAGGTGCTGCATGCACACGGTATGTGCACAGTGCATGCTGGCAGAGCAATCGTTCACATAACTTTTTTTTTTAAAGAAAGGGTGCTACCTATATACTTAATGTTAGGAGAATTCCACACAGTTACTACTTCCTTCTTAATTGAATCTGCGGCTTTGTTAATTATGTGTACAAATTATCCACCTCCCAAGTTTTGTTCTTCCTAAATGTAATATTTATTAGGTGACATTTACTTTCCTGGAACTTTTCTCCCAAGGCAGATTAAATTTTAAAATCAAGCGGCCTGTTGATGGTTCACTTTATGAGAGCATATTGCCCACTCAAAAAATTTCTTTGTTCACTTGAAGTTTTTTCATTATGGAAGTGTGAATTGGTTTCCTGCTTCTAAAAGCCTACATTATTCCCTTTTTCTTTTTCTTTATTTTATTTTATTTTCTTCTTTTTGAGGGCAGACTGGAACCCAGGGCATACTAGGCAAACATTCCACTGTGGAGCTATGTTCACAGCCCCATCATTTCTAATAAGAGATTTCTTTAATGACTTAATTTTTCCTCATCAAATTGCACTTTGATTTATTTGATTTATGGGTTAAGCTTTTTGTTGTTTTGTTTTGTTTTTCGAGACAGGGTGTTTCTCTGTTGTTTTTGGTGCCTGTCCTGGAACTCACTGTAGACCAGGCTGGCCTCGAACTCACAGAGATCCTCCTGCCTCTGCCTCCCGAGTGCTGGAATTAAAGGTGTGTGCCACCACTGCCCAGCCTAAGCTGTTTCTGTGTTTTAATCTTTTATTCTATGTGTATGGGTGTTATGCCTACATGTATGTCTGTGTACCACTTGTCCAGTGCCCTAGGAAGCCACTCACATCCCCTGACACTAGAGTTAGAGAATGTTGTGAGCTACCAATTGAGTGCTGGGAATTAAAGTACTCTTAACTGCTGAGTCATTCAGTGGCCCCCTTTGTCTCTTTTGATGCTTGGGGTAAAAATGTGATACTATTCTTGCCTTTTTTTTCTCATGTTCTCTTACATATTATACCCAGATTACTCAAACTACACACTGAAAATGGTAGCCTAATATGAAGAATCAGATTGGGTCAGCATGGTACCATGGTTGTAATTCCAAGACTCCCAAGAATATGTAAGGTTCATATTAGATGTGTTGACCAATGTTAATTTATTTTACTTTGTTTTTATTTCCTTTTGGACACTTGATTGTGTCAAAGGACACACTATTACTATCTCCTCGGTTAGGCAGGGCCTTGACATTGAGCCATACCCTCACCTCCAGCAGCAGTGTTTAGCATCTAAGTTACTTGTATATCAGGCTTGTACAGTCTAACTACAATTGAACTTAGAAAAGCCTTCCAATAATGGTTCTTATTTTAGCCAAATTGCTGTGGCTAATGTAACAAGTCACCTGTTGATAGCGTAGAGAATGTCGTGTAAATGAATACTTTTCATGTAGAGAAGGTAATTGTACTTTGTTTACAGAAAGCCACAAAGAAAACTGATAAGCCCAGACTAGAAGATAAAGATGACCTAGATGTGACAGAGCTCTCTAATGAAGAACTTCTGGATCAGCTTGTGAGATACGGGGTGAATCCTGGTCCCATTGTGGGTAAGTTGATAAGTCTCAAATGTCTGTTCTAAGAAGCAAGAGCCCAGAGCATTTTTTACTCTCAGTAATTGTTAGAATTTGGGTCTTCGGGGGCTGTCAGTATTTATATAACCAATCAACACTTTAGTTTCATTAACTCTAAATGAGGAAGATAAAATGAGAGTTTCCGTAGATGATGATATGTAAAATTACGTATTGCTGATGTTGTCCTAGTCAGTGGTCATTTTGAGCTAATCTGTAAGCCTTGGATCTTATCTGACAGTTGAAGAAAATCTGGTCAAATCCTCTCAATGAGCAGAGTGCAGATTACTTAGTTCCTAACTAACAAGTTCCATTTCCTAACTAGCATTCAAGTCCTTTTTTTTAACTCTGTCTTGATAACCCTGAAGGACAAATGAAACAGAAGACACGCAGAACTAAGGGCTCTAGATTCCTCCTGTGCCTTTCTGGATGGCAGGAGTTTTGCCAGATTAGTTACGATTTTCTTACAGGGTTTAGGTAGTAACCCTAAGATGAGAAAAACTAACACGCAGCGTCAGGGCTGTGTAAAATTTTGAAGGCTGGGGGGAGATTGGGTGGGTTTTGTTATAGCTATAGTGGAAACAATGCTTTGGTTTTGTCTTTTGTTTGTTTGAGCCTGGGTCTCACTATGTAGCCTACCTAGCTTTGCCACTCAAGGGCTGGATTTAAAAGTATGTATGCACTTCATAGGTTATTCTCAGACAAACCTGTGGCTGTAATTACCAATAGACATTTGATATCTTTTGTAAAATTCTGAGAAACACTGAAATGTATATTACATGAAAATACACTAAATTACATGTTAATGTACCAGTTATTTGTCTTAAGACTACTTATATAATAAATAGGTGTTATTTGTGAACAATAAACTAGTTGTCATATCATCTTCCAGAAATTAAGGAAAGATGCATACCTAATGTAAGTAGAAAATTAAAGACATTCAAGTATGATTTATAGAATTTAACCCATGGTTCACTGACTATTTATAGGCATATTGATCTCTTAATGTTGTGAAGTATAGTCAGTTTTTTGTTGAGGGTTCCCATCTGTTTATAAGAAAGCTCTTTGGGGAGCTGCAGAGATGGTTCAGCATTTAAGAACACAGCTGCTCTTACAGCAGATCTTTGATTCCCAGCGCCCAAGTGCCTAACAACTATCGGTAATGGTATACAACACCCTCTTCTGGCCTACACAGGCACCAGGGACATGACGCACAGATAGACATGCCAACAAAACACCCACTCACATAAATAATAAAACCTTTTTAAGAAAATTGTAATCTTGTGCAGACAGTGGTGGTGCACACCTTTAATCCCAGCACTCAGGAGGCAGAGGAAGGCGGATCTCTGTGAGTTCCAGGACAGCCAGGGCTACACAGAGAAACTCTGTCTCAGAAAAACGGATTATGATCTTGCATTAACATCTCAGAGGAACAGCCGTTTCAGAAAAGAGTTCATTATGTATTATATTTAATCACTTTAGAAACGGAAAGCATGTTGCTTAAAAACTGGTTTCCTGTAGGGGCTGGAAAGATGGTCCCAGTTTGAAGAGTCCACTGCCCTTGTCAGGACCTGAGTCTTGTCCAGAACCCACACTGGGTGGCTCACAATGGCCTGTGACTCCCGCTCCAGGGGGATCTGGCTCCTCTGGTCTCCAGGCATCTGCACTGCACACACACATAATAGTTTTTTGTTGTTTGTTTTCAATCTTGTAAAAAGACAGTTTCATGTCAATACTAGTGGAACTTCTGCCTTGTCCCAGGGACAACCAGGAAGCTGTATGAGAAAAAGCTGTTGAAGCTGAGGGAACAGGGAACAGAATCACGGTCATCTACGCCCCTGCCAACAGTCTCTTCTTCAGCAGAGAACACAAGACAGAATGGAAGTAACGACTCCGACAGATACAGTGACAACGACGAAGGTAGGGTTAAATGCTCTCATCACATCTGAGGGTTTTCCCGACTCGGTGTTGACCGTGAAGAAGGGAAAATTTAAAACAGTATGGACAAGATAGATGTCTAAATAGCCACTTAACTTTTGCTGCAAATGGAACCTTTCTCAAAATTTTTCTTTCCCCATTATCACATCTCCAGAAGAAATCATTAATTTGATATCTAATCTTTCCAGTTTTTATATGTAATGGTCAGTTTGATAAATGCTGCTTTGTTTTTTAAAAAATCTAGATAAATGATAATACTGAGTCTTTTATGTGCTATTTTGTTCCTTGTTATATTTTTTGGATCATATTTCATGTTTGTGTTTATTCCTTATAATAAATATATAGTGTTATATGACGTTTTCTTCTCTATTGATAGGCATGCAAGTTATTTAAAAGATTTTGCTTCCATAATTGGATTTCATGGCAGTTTTGACCATGAGTTTAAATATTTTTTAGAACAGGAAGTACATTCCTTTTTAAATTAGAGTAAATGCAGAATTTGGTACTTGGAGTTTTAACTCATAATTTGCTGATTCTGTAAATATTTAATTTGACCGTGCCTTCCAAGGCACTGTGTCCCAGATTGGTTTTCTGGGAGTGTGAAGTACAGGGTCCTTTTCTTCAACAACACTGTTTTAGCAAGGAGGCACAGAATAAGACCAGCCCAAACCAGTCATGCTTAAACTTCCTGCCTCTTTTGCCTCTACAGGGAAGAAGAAAGAACACAAGAAAGTGAAGTCCACTAGGGATTTTGTTCCTTTTTCTGAACTTGCATCTGCTCCCTCTGGTGGATTTTTTCAGGGTATTTCTTTTCCTGAAATCTCCACCCGCCCTCCTCTGGGCAGGACGGAAGTGCAGGCAGCTAAGAGAGTCCACACTTCTAAGGGAGACCCCCCCAGGGAGCCTCTTACTGACACAGTCTTGCCTGGGAAGGGACAGGTGCAGAGGTTGGCCGCTGGACGGAATATATCTGTTCCTTCCGAGTCTAGCTATGATAGATGTGTAGAGAAAAGTTCTTCATCATCTGCTCAGCGTGAACTCGCTGCCAGGCTGGCCTCTGCTGCAGCGTCTCCCTCACTGATGAGAGAGACCACTACTACTTACTGTAAAGACGTAGTAGAAAATATCTGCCGTGGAGGGAAAGGTAGAGCTCGGCCATCCAGTGCTGAGGGGCCTGGTGTTTCAGATCAGTCTGTGATCTCTAGTGAAAGAGAGGTGCTGCAGGAGTCAGAGAGGTCCCAGGTCATCTCTCCACCACTTGCTCGTGCGATCAGAGACTATGTTAATTCTCTGTTAGTCCAGGGTGGGGTCAGCAGTGTGCCTGGGATCTCTAATTCTGTACCCACACTGGATATAGAAAACATATGCAAGAGACTTAGCCAGTCTAATCGGCAAGAGTCTGAATCCCTGTCTTCTCCCCGCAAAGTCCTCAGACTCAGTGAGACGCCCGGAAAGGAAGGGGATTCAGGTTCACGTGTGGCATTTCAGAATACGCCTGCATCTGAACACATGTCTTCTTTTGTCAAGAGTGTTGTCTCTCATTCCCTTACAACCTTAGGAATAGAAGTGTCTCAGCAAGCACAGCAGAATAAAATAGATGCCTCCGAACCGTCTTTTCCTCTACATGAATCGATTTTAAACGTGATCGAAGAGGAGTGGCAGCAGATTGATAGGCAGCTGCCTTCACTGGCATGCAAATATCCAGTTTCTTCCAGCGAGGCAACACGGATATTATCGGTTCCAGCAGTAGATGATGAAATCCTGGGGCTTGTTCCTGAAACCACCCCACGCACCGCAGCAGTTCAGGCGTCCTCCACTGAGTCTTGTGATAAACATTTGGACTTAGCTCTCTGTAGATCTTATGAAGCTGCAGCATCAGCATTGCAGATTGCAGCCCACACTGCCTTTGTAGCTAAGTCTCTGCAAGCCGACATAAGTCAGGCTGCACAGATCATTAGTTCAGATCCTAGTCATGCACACCAAGCCCTTGAGATTCTGAGCAGGACCTATGATGCAGCTTCGTATCTTTGTGATGCTGCGTTTGATGACGTGAGGGTGTCTGCCCATATCATGGGTTCTTCTACTATGGGTCGGCGTTATCTGTGGTTGAAGGACTGTAAGATTACCCCAGCTTCTAAGAATAAACTGACTGTTGCTCCCTTTAAGGGTGGAACACTCTTCGGAGGAGAAGTACACAAAGTTATTAAAAAGCGTGGAAATAAACAGTAATGTAGTTAAAAACAAAGGGACTTATTCTTGATTGTAGAATTTATGAACATTTCTAGGAATTCTAGCAGCTTCTATGCCAGAATTTTCTTTTGAGGCCTTTTTAATCTCCTAATAGCACTAATTTCAAGGTGTTAAGCTTCCACTCATCAATTATAGTATAATTACACACAGAGAAGCCTAGTACAGTTTAAGTTTAGTTCACATGTTTGTCTCACATAAGTTTATAGCTTCCTGTTTTACATAACACTTTTACACAAGTCTTAAATTGTTTTCTTTCTAATAAAAAATTTTACAGCTCTTAGATTTAAAAAGAATTCCAGCAACTAAAGTATCAGTAGAATCATCATTTTTTGTTTTGTTTTGTTTTTCGAGATAGGGTTTCTCCGTGTAGATCAGGTTGCCCTTGAACCCACAGAGATCTGCCTGCCTCCACCTTATGAGTGCTGGGGTTAAAGGCGTGCACCCCCACCGCCTAGCGGCCTCCCTCTTTTTATCAGTGCCATTCGCATACTTCTTTATGCCTCGATCAGGGTTAAACATTGTTAACCACTTAAATCATCGTTTTTGTTTTTTCCCTTCTCACAGGAATTTAGTTTGAAAAGTCTAGTGTGCAGGAAGGCCAAGTCTCAGAGCAGTGACATAGGCACACAGCCCTTGTGATTTCAGTCTGCTCTGCTGCTGCTGCTTATTTTCATTACACAAATCTTTGGCTAGGAGGCCTTTTGTCCACTCATGACATTGCAGGTCATCTCCAGGCGACCTTTGCACTTATTCTTTTTGTCACTCTTGGCTAAGTAGCCACACGTTCTAAAATTTGTCAGCATTCTTGTTCATGTTTTTGTCTCCAACAGACTTTATGGTAACTCTAGATCAGTGTAACTCTAAGTGCCAGTCCACACACGTGCTGATTCAGACACTCTGCAAGAATAGAAGGGAAAGGGGCTGCATCTCAGTGCTAAGGAACATGTGCTTACCATGCACGTGGCCCTGAGTTCAGTTCACCACCACCCAAAAAAATTTCATGAAAGAATTTAAACCTAGAGAGATACTTTGTAAGAGAATGAGAAGAGGTACACCGCATGCCTGTATGTATGTACACACACATCACATATGCGCTCACTTCAGTGAAAAAAGCAGTGTACAGTTATATGTTCTGATAGAGGAGGCAGCCAAGTCATACGAGCATGTAGACCACACTGAGGAACACAGCTGTGGATAAGTATAGATGTTCTGATACAGTTGATGTTCACTCAACATGACTTTCGTTAGATGAAAAAGACACTGGGAAGACAGGGCTTTTTTTACTTACATGTATGTAAAGGCATGTTGTATGTCCTGAGTAGTTAAATTTCAGATCTGAATGCTAAAAGCAAATTTGAATTATTTTCTAAAAACCTTAAGAAATTTTACTCTACCCCAATGTCTGTGTCTGTATGAAGCAATGTATTGCCTTGTTTTCATGTGTATGGTTGTAAGGTAAGGTAGCGTGGTTGTAGAGACATGGAAAATGGTCTTAAGCATAACCAAATACAGTCCATTGAGTGTACATGTCTACTACCTGTTCTCAGACTGCACATGCCATCTCTGCAGCTTTGTTACTTGTCTTCTCAAATGTACATGTATCCATGTACCTGTTAAGTGCTGTGTGGTTTCTTAAAGCGATGTATCCCTGTAGAATGCTTCTACAAATTCAATAAAGTTGTTAAATTTGAACAGTTTGTGTGGTCTCCAGAAGCATGTTTTATGTGTGTTTTCTTCTTGGAGTTTCAACTAGTTGAATATTTGTGGATGAACATACCTTTTCCATTTCATCATTGAAACATTCCAACAGTATAATTGAAAATATTCTGGTGATCAAATGTCCTTTCCACTATTTAAGGACCATATATTTAATTGGACGTTAAATTTGAACAAGGACTTGATTTGTAACCAGATGACTTATTTGTCTAATCAGTTTCCGCTTTGCTGGAAGAGTGGATTTTATAATACTGAGCAGTGTACCAGTACTGATAGATTCATAGATCTAGTGACGGTTGGCCTTGGAGTTGGTTGCTTGGTCTAATTGACCTGTCTGAACTAGTTGGTTCAATCACTGTCTTGGGAGAGGGATGGCAGGTGTATTTGGACTAAGAAGATTAGACAGGAGGCTCAGCAAGGCACAGAGTTATCTTGATCACTTTGAAGCATGGCTCCATTGAGCTTGTATAAAATTAAACTTTAAGACCGGATTCTATTGTTTGCTAAGAAAGCACAATTTTGGAACTAAAAGTTCCAGCATTAATTGGCCTGCTTTATTATAAATGACCATAAAAGTAAAAAAGTGAGGTTTTTGTTCTGTTTTGAGGCAGCTTCACCTTGTAGCACAGGCTAGTCTTGAACTCTAGATCTTCTGTGTAGGTTTTCAAATTATGGTAAAAACCAAGACTACAAGAATTAGAATACTTGGCTCTTTATTAAACTGTGTTATTGGGTTAATGACTATGATATAAGAAACTTCATTTTATTTGTTTATTTGGTGCTAAGGATTGAACCCTGCACCCCCTAATCAAATGATTGGTGCTGCACAATCTTGTTTTTAAAATTTGCCCTTTCCACATGCGACATTTTAATTTACTAGCTAACCTTTGCTGTAGAGCAGTAATCAATTGCCTAGACAAAAGAATACCTCCACATTTGCATTGGTTTTTAGTGAAAAGCCTCCACCGGAACAGTTGGAATTCTTCTGTGTTTAAGGTTATTCTAGGGGTGGGAAAATGGACAAGAGTAAATAGGAAGGAGTAATCAGATGAAACGGGGAAGGGATAAGAATGGACTAAGATTATAAAATTCGAGGTTCGGGCTGTTTTGTTTTTTGTAAGAAGGTTTGTTTGTTTGATGAATTTTACTAAGCAGTTTTGCTCCACCGACATATTACGATAAACAGATTGTCATGTGTACTAATGTGCCTAAAACCAGGGTTCCAAAGTGATATGAGTAAAACATAACTCAAGTGTTTCAGTAGATAATGCTTTCTCCAATGTTATTTCCAGACTCTAAAATAGAGCTCAAGCTTGAGAAGAGAGAGCCACTAAAGGGCAGAGCAAAGACCCCAGTAACACTCAAGCAAAGAAGAATTGAGCATAATCAGGTATCTGAAGTTTCATGATCACCCTACGCCGGTGTAAGTCACCTGAGCAGCACTCCCCTGTCTTGTGTTGTGACCGTTGATAAATAGTTGGCATGCACACTTACTCCTCCAGCTTACTCGTCTACTTAGTCTCATTGTTAAATGGTATGGAAAATAGATACACTGGATTTGTCAGCGTTCATACCCTGTGGTGTCTATCCCGTGCTGAGCAGTCTGGTGTTGGTCATCCTGCCCATTGTTCATTTGGATGCAGCGGATTAGAACCTGGGATCTCAGGTGTGCTAGGCCAGTGATTCTACCATCATGCTTCCTTTGGAAAGAATTGTTTTAGAAGATAGAAATATGCAAAACTACACAGAGAAACTCTGTCTCGAAAAACAAAGCAGCAACAACAACAAAAAGAAGATAGAAATAAATGTACTTTGGATACAGCTTCTTTGGAACTTGGGAAAACAGTTTTATATATTTGTCATTGTGTCTAGATTTTTGATTTACCTTGTTTCCTCACTTGTAGCTTTTTCCTACACTATGAAGCTAGTGTGGTTTTAAAACTATATTATTTAAGATAAAGATTTACAATCTGGGGATGGGGTGAGAACAAGATACAGTTTCCAAAAGGAAAACTACAGGAAATTGGGGAGAAAATAAGTATAAGGCATCAATAAATATATTACTTTACAGAGGAGCATTACGGGCTCTGATTTAGGGTTGGTACCCAAGGTTCTTTTCCTCATCCTTACTCTTCAGCTAGACACCATGTTACTTTGTTATTCATCTGTCTTTTCCACGTTCTGTCTGCCTCGTTTCTGTGGTGTTTTTGAGACAGCATGTCACTATATATCCCAGGCTGGCCTGCAGCTTGTCGACCTTTCTGCTTCCTGAGAGATGGGATTACAGGTGTGCACTGCCATGTCCTGCTTCCTTTCTTTTGTGGGGTTGAGGTGGAGAGGCAGGGCCCAGGGTACCCCTGCCTGACCCTCCTGCCTGTACCTCCCAAATGCTAGGTACAGGAGTGTACCACCATTCCTGACCAAACGTGCTTTACTGGGTAATTCAGTTGAGGAATCTGAACAGTATACTAATTCCCACTACAGCCATTTTCTCCTCCCTCCATGTGGCGACCATAATTGATCATGACAGTGTTTCCCACATTCTAGAGGTGGTAGGTTGTTTTCATTTTTTTTCTTGATATCCTGTATAATCTGGTATACTGGAGACTAGACCTGTGTGTGACAGTATCGTAGACCTTTTTTTAGTCACAGTAGAAGTGTTGGATGTCTGCTAGAGTGGTCTTTCAGTCTCTAGTAGTTGGACTAAGGCTACTATAGCAATTTAAGCACAAGTGTGTAGCTGGTGACTACTGTATTGGACAGCATAGACCCAAGGGTTGATCCGGGTTTGGATTCAGTTTCTTTGACAAGAATATTTCATGAATGATGTTGTAGCTCTCCTTTTGATCATTTCAGGAAACAGCATGAATTTGCTTTAAATACACTAAAATTAATTAACAAGTTCAGATGTTGAAAGGTTGACTCATCTGATATAAAGCTTTGTCTGGCCTTTTTTTTTTTTTTAAAGATTTATTTATTTATTTATTTATTTATTTATTTATTATGTATACTGCAGGCCAGAAGAGGGCACCAGATCTCATTACAGATGGCTGTGAGCCACCATGTGGTTGCTGGGAATTGAACTCAGGACCTTTGGAAAAGCAGTCAGTGCTCTTAATCTCTGAGCCATCTCTCCAGCCCCTGTCTGGACTTTTCACTTAAAGGTTTTAACAGCTGTGGATGGTATTGCCTAAATCCATGATTTTATTTGAAGTTACAAAATGATGACTTTTCTCTTTGTCTTATTATTTGATATCTGTAAGTAATTAATTGTTTTATAAAAAAAAACTTTCTTTGCTGGGTTCCTTAGTTGCCTTGAAGTAAGATCATACAAGAAAACCAGAAAAATACCTTTATTTGCCAGTTTTTGGTTTTTCGAGACAGGGTTTCTCTGTGTAGTTTTGGTGCCTGACCTGGATCTCACTCTGTAGACCAGGCTGGCCTTGAAATGTGAGTTCTACAATTAAAGGTGTGCACAGCCGCACTGGATGATAAATTTTTGGTTTTTCAAGACAGGGTTTCTCTGTGTAGTTTTGTGCCTTTCCTGGAGACCAATTTTGCGCTTTGGAGACCAGGCTGGCCTCGAACTCACAGAGATCCTCTTGCCTCTGCCTCCCGAGTGCTGGTATAAAAGGCGTGCGTTATCACTGCCCGGCTGATAAAGGTTTTATGCTGTGATTTTTGTATTCATGATTGGTTGTAATCCAGTCATAACCCCCATCACACCCAGAGCCTGCTGCATGCTGTCCAAGCGTTTTACAGAGGCTCCTTTACCAGCCGGGTAAATAGGGTCTGAAGTCTCATTCCCTTATTTCCTCCATCCCTAAGGAGAATCTGAGCACGTGATGGCATTTCAGGTTTACAGATAGATGTTATAAACTTGGTTCTGACATGTGTCTATGCTGAGTATCTTGGCTCTTTTAATTACACTTTTCTTAATTTAAATATCATGTTTTACATGTTTCAAAATAATACTAAGGTTGCTAAATGCAATCCAGTGCATTTTCATTAAGATACCTCACTAGGATACAAAGTAAAGTACTGTGTTTAAAATCTTGTGAATGGACACTTCCTTTTTAGTGTGTCTTCTATAGGAAGTACTCGACATAGATTATTTATATTTGCTCCTTTCCCTTTACAGCACTCTTACCCTCCTTCCATCTGCCCTAGAGTCCACTCCAAATCAAAACAGATGTTTCCTTCCCGTCTCCTGTGCAGCCTCCTCCTGCATACTGAGATTTGTGGGTATGCGGTAATTGACTCAGCTGCCCTGTCCTTTAGTGAGTGTGTGAGAAGTTGTGCTCACATGCTGGTTATGCCACGACAAGCAGCCATTCGCAGGGAGCGCCTGGTCTTTGTCACTTGGTCTGGGGGAAATGCGGAAGTGAAAGTATTCTGTAGCTTTTGCAGGGTGTCACCAAACGTCTTTACCTCAGCAATACTGAGAGTACTGTTCTCTATTGGAGTAATACAAGTCAGTATGAATGGTCATGTTGATCATGCTTTACCCGAGTGTGGGTAGTGAACACATGGGGGTAGTATAGCTTCTTTAGTCTCATTCGTATTTACATGTTCTCCCTCCTTTCTCTCCCGCTGTCCTGAGAATCAGATCCAGGAACTCTTACATATTAGGTACCTATACCCCTTTGCTGATACTTTGAGAGAGTCTTACTTTGTAGCCCACACGAGCCTCCATCTCCTCATCCCACTCTGTCAACATCTTGTGGTTTATAAGTGTACCATCATGCCAGACTTGGGTATATCTTACTGTAATGTAATTTAGTACAGATTTTTTTTCTTTTTTTTTTAAATTTATTATATATACAGTGTAATGTCTGCATGTGTCCTTGTAGACCAGAAGAGGGCACCAGATCTCATTACAGATGGTTGTGAGTCACCATGTGGTTGCTGGGAATTGAACTCAAGACCTCAGGAAGAGTAGCCAGTGTTCTTAACTGCTGAGCCATCTCTCCAGCCCTAG